AAACTCCCATCAGCTGTTCAGTGAGAGGACCAAGCGCTCCACGCACCAGGTGAGCTCCCAAAAACCAGATGCTGTTGTAAAATAATGGCTGGGAGCAGGGAAATAAGGAATTCTGAGATTTTCAGTGGAGTTTGCAGCAGAGGAATGGATGGTGTTTAGGAAATTCCCATGAATTCATAGCATGGGTTAAGAAATGCTGCTCAGCAAGAGGACCAAGCGCTCCACGCACCAGATGAGCTCTGGAATAACCTGGTGTTGGTGTTAAAACAATGGCTGGGAGAGGAAATAAGGAAACCTGGGATTTTCACTGGGGTTTGCAGCAGAGGAATGACGGTTTTTAGGAAACTCCCATCAGCTGCTCAATGAGAGGACCAAGCACTCCATACACCAGATGAGCTCTGAAAAACCAGATGTTGTTGTAAAATAATGGCTGGGAGCAGGGAAATAAGGAAGCCTGGGATTTTCAGTGCAGTTTGCAGCAGAAGAATTGATGGTGTTTAGGAAATTCCCATCAATTCATAGCATGGGTTAAGAAATGCTGCTCAGCAAGAGGACCAAGCACTCCACGCACCAGATGAGCTCTGAAAAACCGGATGTTGTTGTTAAAATAATGGCTGGGAGTGGGGAATAAGGAAGCCTGGGATTTTCAGTGGGGTTTGCAGCTAAGGGATGGAGCTGCAAGGGATGGATAGTGTTTAGGAAATTCCCATCAATTTATGAATGCTCAGCAAGAGGACCAAGCACTCCACACACCAGGTGAGCTCTGAAAAACCCAGATGTTGTTGTTAAAACAATGGCTGGGAGCAGGGAAATAAGGAAGCCCGGGATTTTCAGTGCAGTTTGCAGCAGAAGAATGGATGGTGTTTAGGAAATTCCCATCAGTTTATAGCATGGGGTGAGAAATGCTGCTCTGGGTGACAGATTCTCTACGTTCTGTGCTCCCTCACCTTTCTGACAGTTTAAAACAGCNTTTTTTGTCAGTGTGGAGCCCAGCCTGGCCCAGGGGGGATTCCTGACTCCAACATTTGGCACTGTCCCCATCCAAAGGGACTCCCATGTTCCAGGCACGAGCCAGGCTGGAGCAGGAGGCCAAGGGGGCTGCTGTCCCCCCTGGCAGCTGCCCCTGTCCCACAAAAAGCCATTGTTCAGGAGATGCCTGCAGCCAACAGCGGGCCCTGGTCGCCAGCTGAGCTGACACATTGGAGTTCTTGTGCTGCAGCCTCAGGCCAGCTGCTGCCCCACAGCAAATGCTCTGCACAAAAATACAAGGCATCACGTTTCCTATTTGGGTGCTATCTCTCTGGACATTACTTGCACTTTCTGATAAGAAATTCATGCTGAGGCACAGCCAGTGTCCCACTGACTGAGGAGCAGACAGTCCATTTTAAAGCTAAAAGCAAAATCTATCTTGTACTGAAAAAAACCCTAAAAAATGACATCCACAGCTTTCTCTACCCTTTGCCAAAATGCCTCAGGTGACTAAAGCTACCTGCTGGCTCTGGCTGCCCCATCCCTGGAAGGCTGGACAGGGCTTGGAGCAGCCTGGGACAGAGGAAGCTGTCCCTACCATGGCAGGGGTAGGGTGAGATGATATTCAAGGTCCCTTCCCACCCAAATCATTCCATGATTCTGTGATCTTGTAATGAATAATTATGAGATGAAGAATTCACAAAATGACAATGGAAAAAAAACCAATTTTTAAACAAGGAACAAAAAAAAAAACCCCAATTTTTTATATAGGGATCACAGAATAGATGCCTATTTTTCATACAGGGATCACAGAATAGATCCCTGTTTTTTTATACAAACCATTAGGGTTGAAAAGGACCTCTGGAGATCACCGAGTCCAGCCCCAGTGCCAAGGCAGGGTCACCTAGAGCAGGTAGCAGGAATGCATCCAGGTGGGTTTGGATGTCTCCAGAAAGGCAGATCCACACCCTCCCTGGGCAGCTGTTCCAGGGCACTCGTGGAAAGAGGTTCTTCCTCATTTGAGGTGGAACTTCTTGTGTTTTAGCTTGCAAATTCAATATATGTAAGTCTAATATAATAAATCTAAATAATGATTAGCAGTGCTCTTTAAAGGGTTAAGCAGGAAAAGGTGATGAAGAAACGTATCACAGTAATTTTATTATTATCTATTTCTTTATTGCACTGACCATAGCAGACACAAAGTATGGGAATAAATCACACGGATTCCATTTTCTTCAAGGTGGAACAAGCCCATTCTTCATTCACATAACTCCTTTTAATACAGTTTTACAGAACTTGTGTGTGACTCCAACAGGTCAGGAGCTTGCTTGTTAATTACTTTATTGGTCATTAACAATTTGTTATTCTGTATTGATTGGTCACTCAGACTCTGATGTGGACATGCAGGAAAAGTTGTTTGTGAGGGATAGTTTTCATTTTTCTATGTAATGGTGTAAAAACTGGTTGTTTTTCACCCAGGAATAGATTGTTATGTTAACCAACTGCTCACACCAGGATTGCTTTACATGGGAACTTGCACAGTGCCAGCTTGTCTTAGAGGAAATGACAGAGGCCAGAGCAGCCTGATTTTCTCAAGCCTTTCTTGATGATTTTCCTGCCTTACTGCAACAACAAAGTGCCACACTTAACTGTGATGGCAAAGATGTGCTCTCCAGCTCCACAGTACTGAGTGTTTGTCCTGAAAGTTGGCATTTAATGAAGCCCTGCCTTAGCTGGAAAACCTTTAGCGTTTGTGTTTTGGCTTTTATTTCCTTTTTAATCTCTTTTGAAGAGCTCCACCGACCATGCTTGATGATTTTCCAGCTCAGTGCTGGAGAGAGGCTGTTCAATGTGCAGAGGGGTGGGTGAATCAAACCGAGCCCTGGGTGGGGAAAGGATCCCAGCAGGGTGGGAACAGCAGGGTGGAAGTGAGGCCTGGCATGGGTATGACAGAGTGACAGAGTGACAGAGTGACACTGTGTGTGTGCCCGTGTCCCCAGCACTGCCTGGCCAAGGCTCTCTACGACAACAAGGCGGAGTGCTCGGACGAGCTGGCGTTCCGCAGAGGGGACATCGTGACGGTGCTGGAGCAGCACGTGGCGGGCAGCCAGG